GTGCAAAAGACGTAAAAATATTTGACGCTCATATCCTCTCTCTCTCTATCAAGTTACTCTAGAAGGACAGGGAACCTTTGAAGACTTGTGTTGGCTTCTGGCACAGAAAAAGCATCCTGATGAGTTCAGTTTTACTGTGTGTGCAACTTTGGCTCTATTTGTGCATGCAAGTTTTTGTAGCTTCTTTGTGTCTTAAAATTACGCATATGGTATTGCAGTTCCAGCTCTTGCATGCTTATTCAGTCACTTTGGAGGTTTCATAGTAGAATGTTGTCATCTAAGTACTTGGCGGAAAGATAGCTCTGAGAACTACATGTGGGACAAATGGTAGCACTACACCATCTAAAGATCTGCGGAATGACTCCTGCATTGGCAAGCTAGAAGTTTAGTTTCTGTTACTCCTCAGAACCACAGGTCTTTTTCCCTTCTGCTTTTCCCATAGTTCACACACTCATCCTTGCTACAGCTTTACATTATTGTTAAAATTGCTTGTAAATATAGACTGACAGACTTAATTTGTAAAAAAAAATAAAAAAAATAAAAAAAATAATAGCTGATGTAAACTGGAGATTAAATTTAATGGATGATCTTGTTAAATGTTTCAACAGTAAAAAGTACGGTGGAGGACCCAAAATTGGAAGGTGCTATTTTAATGTTTCTGTCAGCCATTGTGATAGCTGATGGCTGAAACTGTCCTTCATTTTTTATGTCTGAAGTCTTCACATCCATTTTTCTTTAGAGCAGTAGTGGGGCTTTGTTAGTTGCAGATAGAATTCCAGCAAGTCAGAGTCTTTGGTATTAAGAATGGAGTGGGAGTGGAATGCATTTATGCTGTAACAGAATAATAACATTTTCCTGAGAGAAATCGCAAGGGCTTGTTGAGACTTTCTTTAACACATTTCTGTCAGAAGCTATGGAAAGGCATTGTATTTGTGCTTCAATATGCTAAATAAGAGGTATTTTCGACTTAAGAATGTTATGTTTCACTTGATTAGCCTAATAGTTGCAACCTACAGTTATATGGTGCATTAGCTTTCAGTGCTGTATAATAGGACTGGCAGCATGGTGTCCCAAAAACTGTAATTGCGTGGGCTGCTGAACAGTCGTAGAGAAAGCCGCACAAAAATTCTATTCTAGACAGAATTTTTTCATTTTGAAATGAATTTCACAACAAATTCACAGTTGGATGCCACCGCTTGTATTTCCAGTGAATCATACTCCAGAAAAGTAATACTTTGCTTCAACAAAGCCTGCCACAAACAGTGCAGTGATATAAATCAGAAATTGGATATTTTTTAATTGTAATTTTTCAAAATATAGTACTGTTATTAACTATGCCTGCAGGTCCTGACATTCAGATATGTTTGGCTTTGTCTTCACAGGCAAAAATGAAAATCCTTCACAAGTAAGACAAAAAGAAGGGCTGTGGGGAAATACTCTTTTTACTTATGCTCCACTCATGATAGGAAATTGACTCCCTGATGGCAGTGGTTGTCACAACACTGCATACTTAATAGCATAGTCAGAGCAAACCTGTTGCATGGTTACCAGCCTAAGTTTACTGATGGTCAATTCATTTATACCGTTCTTTCTTGGGCCAATATTGCTCTTCAGCTTAGGTAGCTCTCCCTTCTCTCCCTGTCTGGTTCCACTTACTGGCATTTTTTGAGTGCAATTGCATCTTCTTTTCGTCTTTGGTTTCTTTAGCTTACCAAGACAAGGTCTTTTAGAGTATTAGATGCTGCAATTAAGGTAGCTACAGTTTCATATACACAATCTGTCTCTAAACTGTATAGCTTTACCCAGTTTGTGCTGAATTATCTGCTCTTAAATTGCAAAACCTGTCTAAGAAACTGAGGAAATACCTGAGCTTGTGCTGGGCCCCCTGATCCTGCAGTCATTGCAGGACTGGAACTGCTGTGAAAGGTCAGGGGCACCTAATTAGTGCTACTGGGATGGCAAGAAATAATCTCCTTTAAGATCTTAGTTCACCCAATTGTCCTTGTACATGGTACAAGGATGCAAGGTAAAATGTGTCTGCCGAGGTTAACGCTATCAATGTTACTGTACAGCTGGGATGGGCTACCAGTATGGAATACTAAACTATTGTCACTTCATTTTTACCATAGGTTCCATCTTGATTCCGTTTGTCAATTCATTCTGAATTCTTCAGTTAGAAGACATAAATGACTATTTTATATCTTAGCTGTGCACCACCAATGGTATTTATCACCTGCTGCTAAAGTTGCTGACATTAGTACTTTGTGCTTGTAGAACTTAATGGTACCTAGTTACGGTAACTCAGTGACTGACTCTTTAAGAAATACATCATGTAAGGTCTCCACAGACATGGTTGATAGGCAACTTTTACTAGCACAGTCAAATGTTGTTTAATTTGGGTGCTGCGAGCAGACAGAATTAGCAGCTCCTCTCCCGAGCCAAGTTGCGTGAATGCACGAGAAGAGGCATGCTACCTCAGGAGCTTAGGTGGGATGGGTGAGAAATGAGGATTCTTCCTTGGAACCGCATCACCCTCTTACACAACCCACCCACTTTGGTCTCAATACATTCCAGCTTTTCCCTCCTCTCCTTGACAACACTTCTTCCCAGCTCAGCCAGCTGGCCTCCTCTCTGCAGGACGCACACCTGCCCTCTCTGTTTGAGGTAGCAGCCCCTTCTCTGTCCTTTCATTACGGCTCCCCAGCTGTACCAGGGTTTGGGATGCTTCATTAGAGAGCAATCAGTCAGGTCAAAGAAATGCTGCTTAGTTCATGACTGAAATTTTGATTGACTAATGAAGATGCTCTGGCAGTGCTCAGGTATCCACAGAGAAGGGAGACTGTCAAAGTCTTAACCTTGCGCGGCGTTTGTGCAAAAGTAAAAGCACACCATTTCCACATGAAAGATCCTGCTGTCACAAGATGAGGCCGGTAGGCAGCCAAAAGCTGAATACCGCATAGGTTTGCAGACCAAAAGCATCACTTTGCACCCTGAGGTTAAGTGCAAACCAACTCCTAAATTCACCCTGTACCTCTTGCTGAGATTTGCATACCGCTGTTCGGTGCTTGGTCAAGTAGTATTTGCTTGTGGGACGTGATACAAATTTGTCCTCTGTGATATGAAGCCTGCAGAAGATTTAAACTGGGGCAGAGTGAAGCAGAAGGAAAACAGTAGAAGAGGAAAAAGGAAGGGGGTGTTGCATTTCCACATATACCTGTGATCTTTTGGTGTGGTTCAAGTACTGGTGTGTAGCATTCTTACTTTGTTTTGCAGGTTACAGGGGAGAAGGGAAAAAAAAGTTTCATAAAATTTCTGGTATTGTTTTATTCCTCCCTCTCTTCCTTTCTTGTTGCAAAAAAATCACTAACATAACAAGAAATTATAAACTTGCAACCTAATGTACTATGATGTTGTTGGTTTAGTTTAAATGGAAAGAGTGACAGATTTTTCAAGGTAAAGAATAAAGATAGCGAGAAAAAGCATTAGAGGTGTTTTGGAATGTGTGGGGAAAGACTTGTATTTTTCTTTACCTTGTGCAGTTATTTGCATCTCTTGCAGAGTGAAAACAGAACATTCCTTCTAAAAAGGTCTTGATTGTTTTGTATGTTCAGAAACCAAACTGGTTTTGGTGAGAGCAGTAAAGTCTTTGACGCTTGCCTCTTTGCTGCGAACTTTTGAAACAGAGACTGTCCTGGTACACGGGCCTGGGTGCAGAGTTCAGCTACATCCTGGTTGCACATTGGAACAAGAGTTGCTGTTTGGTGTGTCTCCCTCCTCTTTTCCCCCAAGCACCTTCACTTCTAACAGGAGACCCGTGATGCCCTCCAGGATGCACCCATGAGTCTAAACTCCGGGCTGCGTTGCGTTGCACAGTGTTGACACAGGCGATGAAAGTGTTCCTACCTCATGCAAGGGGGTCCTTTTGTCCTACTCTTACAAAATGTTTGTCTGTAACTAAGTTAGACAGAACGAGTGTCTCTGTTTTAGATCTTGAGGTGAGTTGTGGGACCAGTGGTTAAAAAAATGAGCACGACTGAAATGACAGTTGTGAGGCACTACTGCTGTTCTCCCATAGAGTAACTCATTTTGGTGATCTTCGGTAACTCCTTTTAAAGCAATTTTTCATAGCAGGATTAATTTGATGCATCAGTGTTATCTGAGGAAAGGTGGAGCAAGCAAGATGAACTGATTAAAGGTTCACTTCGTAATTTTTATAACAGCAGCCTTAATCACGCTATGATCTCTGAGCTGTGTGGTCTCACCAGTCTTTGTCCATGATTCTGATCTCTTACTGTTGATTGAATATACCAAAGGGAGTGATGGGATCATTGCAGTTCCTTCTGGATGTCCTTTGATTTAGAATTTCCTTTATAGTATAAATTGATAAGTATTTCATATGCTTGGTAAATAAAATGCTTATTTGAATTCTCCACCCTCCCCAAGAGGAAATGTCTACTAAGACATGACATCTCCTATAAACTCCCATGAGTAATATGTTCTGAACTGCTTTCAGAGAAACAAGAGTCCTTACTGTTTCTATCTGTGCTACTAGTTTACAGTCAGAGAAGCTGATAAAGTAGTACGATCTTCTTGAAGACCGTTGTACAAACAAAAATCCTCGTCTTTGTTTCTTTAATACTTACTGAGCTGCAGTGAATGTGCTCTGCCATGGTATGTGTATTCTAGCAAGACGTTCAGAATTTATTTTTTAATAATGCTAAGTTTTTATTAAATTGGGTTGCCAGAGAAAAAGAATACTGAAACAGGAACCTGCTGGCTTTTTTAACCTTTTGCTGTAAGGAAATGTGCCTTTCTCCATTTGATTTGAAAAAGGAAATAGGCTAGTGGTGTGGCTATGGAACTTTCTCTTTCTGCCTCTGATTGCAAAAGTGCTAGTGAAAGAATGAAAAGAAAAAGTACAGTATTAAACAGTAGAATATTATGGTTTTGTTGAGACAACAGAATGAAAGTAATTAATTATCCTGTTTGTTTTGTTTCAGGTGTCAGAAACTATTTGAAAGAAGCATTAGTGAATATCATTGCTGTGCATGCAGAGGTGAGCAAACCTTCAGATTGTTTCATGCTTATATTTATATGAATCATTTCAGTGTACTTTGCGTGTTAAATCCTGGCTTTCATCACCCCTTCATTATAGATTTAGGTGCTTTGAGTTAGGTTTAGACAACCAAGTATGCAACTGCTAACTTTTTTAAGGGCAGGAGGAGATGAACAGTTCCTGTTTATCCTCAGTAACACTCCATTACACCTTTTTGTTTCCGCTGTCTGATGAAGAGGAAAGCCAAACTCTAAAGCTCAATTCTTCCCTTTTCATGCAGATCAAATATATACAGGGAGAGAAATATAGGTAGATATGATGCTCACTTTCTCTGATTAACTTTATTTTCCACAACATATGAAAATGAGCTTGTGCTTTGCTTTAGAAGAAATGTTCAATATATGCCACTCGGAGTGAAAAGGCAATATATGTCACTCGTGTACATAGGAAAAAAAGTGAAAACCTAAAACCAGAAAGTTTTATAGACTCTGTACAGCACAAACTGTGTTCTGAAATACTTAGCTTAGTAATAGCTTATGATAGGGAGTGCATATTAAAATTGAAATATTATCATTAAAATAATATGCTCGCAGTCCTGCAGTTATTTGGCCTTTTGTGGTGATATGCAGGAATTTTCTGTAGTTCTTTAAATTACAGCCTCGGTTCTACATACTCCTTCCTTCTGATCATCAAGAGTGTTACCAGATTACTAGTGCTCTTGGTACAAGCATTGGTAGTAATATCAGTAAAACCTTTCAAAATACCACAAGTATACCTGCTCTGCTTTTTCCACCTACTTAAAATCTTATGAGATTCATTTGAGGGTTTGTTTCTTTTATTCTTTCTTAAATTACAAGGATTCACATAAATGAAAATATTTTTCAGAAACTTTAAATATCGCTTGCAATATTTTTGATTCATTTTCAGTATTTACTTATAGCCATTTTCACAGAAGCATTGCTAATTTTAGCAAATGCTTCCAAAGGGGGAGATAAGCAACACCAAAAATATATACTACCATGACATTAATTTTTAATGTTGTTTTTCAGTGTAGTGGAATTTAATAAAAATGAAAATGAGAGGTTTTGCTTTAAAAAAGTCAAGCATTTGTGCGCTAATCCTGTAAACAGGCACAGTCGTTAAATTGCTGCAGCAGAAAGGTGCACTTCCTTGCTGACTTCATTGAGACCGATACTGATTTTGGCCCAAATAGTGTTGCCTCATAGATTTCTAGACGTGAAATATTACAGAAATATGAAAATGTGTGTCAAGATGAAACCTCCATTTTCACTGTTTTCTGGTGGAAATTCTGTGAGCTGGGTCAGATTTAAGTTTAGTTAGCAAGGCTGCAAGTTTCTGTAGTTTGAAACAGCAAAAATTAACCATCAGCTGAACAGCGAGCATGGACTGAAGCGGAAAGAAAATTGTTTCTCTACCTTTGAATTAAAATTTAACTGAAATCAAAATAAGGACTTCTTATTGCAAATTTGTGATGATTCACCGTTGCTGAGAATTTTTTTCCTGGATTCTGTATAGTAACTTCAAGAGTGCTCGTTGTGGGCACAAATACTCTCTTCTCAGTAGAAGATTTTTGGGTATGTTCCTGGTATGTTTGTTATGAATTGCTCAGCAATATTTGCTGCTGAATAAGATGATCCATTCCCAAATCATTACTGCTTTTTTTTTTTTCTGTTGGTGGTTTTTTGGGTTTTTTTTCTTATCATGTAACTAAGCATGTAACTTACTTTGTTTTTGTAGGTTATAGCAGGTTGCATGTTTGAATTAGCATTGGTAGCAGCTGATGGCTGAAATATGTGATCAATATACTTAGCGTATGGTGCAGACCTGCCTTCTGGAACAGTCAGTTTTGTTGGATCCCTGATACATAATTCATTCCTTAAATCACTGAAAACTGTGTAGGAATCATGTATTTATTACAGAAACACACACACAATTTACTGTTACACACATATGAGTATCTTCTGTCGGTTACTACATTTCCTTGTCAGACATGAGATCTAAACTTCACATAAAGCAAAGATATCCTAGCAAAGAAATCATTCCACTACTTAATTTTTTAGATCATTTTAAAGCAGAAATCAGGGGAGTAATTGTTTAAAAAGTCTATGCAGTTCATTTTCCTTCTTGCACCACTCACATCGTCTTCAGTTCCTTGTGTCATCTTCTCCCTCAAACCTGTGCAGTTTTAGTGCAGCTTTATCATCACCTTTAAGTCTTGACAGAAGTTTGGTCTAACCTATAGTCTCACTTCCTCCTATATCCCAACCTATTGGCCTGTGTTTTTCTCCAATTCTGTGTAGAAAAATCATACTACTATTTTTTTTTTTCTTTTTTAATTCGCCAACAATTTCTCGCTTCCTTAAAGTTCCCGTTAAAGAAGATTGGTTTCTTTATGGTTTCCTTCAGGTATAGATCTAATGTTCAATTTTGCGTTGCTGTTGTGTTGCAGTTGCTATTCTGAACCTCAAATGGAGGATCCATTTAAAAAGCTATACAAATAAGCAGTTAAAAAGACTGTCTTGATGCATGGTAAAACCAGTAAGGTATAATGTTTTTGCCGGTGAACTAAAAAATGGCAGTGATGAAAGAATCTAAATGAAAATCCGTTACACTGCCATACTCTTAACCCTTTTCAAAGGCTTGTTTCTGCAACAGAGAATAAAGACGCTAGCAGTTTGACAGTGATCAAATGTAAAGGATTCTAGAAGAAACAGCAAAATACATGAGTAAAAAGTGTGTTTGGGTCAGTCAGTCAAATAACCGTGAATTAAAGATGCTATCTACAAAACAGCAGTCTGTGTTCATGACGTGACTAGTTGCATCCATCAGCAGCGAGCATGTGTTTTGAAGTCTTGCTACTTTTAGGTGTTGCAAGAAAGTTGTCATTACGGCATAGCTAACATTGCTATTAACAGAGGCAATTGGTCAAAGCACAGGGCAAGCATCAAAAGAAATCCTTCGTACTCCAGTTGCTTTTGAAATTTTTATGTCAATTGATAAAAGCCATCCTCTCAATCAAAGCATTTAATGCTTTTTCCTGAAATGTTACTGCAGAAAATATTTCTGTTAATATAGCTATTGTGTTTGTTATTTTTTCGCAGGTGTTTACCATTTCCAAAGATTTAGTTCCTCGGGTAATGTCAAGGGTTGTAGAGGCAGTCTCTGAAGAGCTGAGTCGACTGATGCAGTGTGTTTCATCCTTCAGCAAAAATGGAGCTTTACAGGTACCTGAATACTGTGTACTGTCAAACATCTGAACCTAGAAAACAGAATAACAGAGAAAGAGGTATTATCAGTGTGTTTGTCGGATTTATTGTAGCAGTGAAAGCAAGGAAATAAAAAAGAATGAGTATACAACCTATTTCAGATTTCTGGGTTAATACCCATTGGGATACTGGTTCTTGGGTTTGATTATATTTTAGTGTTGTCTTTGTGTCTGAGTGCATGAAAGTTTACCTATACCCTGTGAGGTAAAAAGCATCATAACGGTATCTGTTTAAAATATTGTTAAATAGTGTCTTTAGCCTGTCATAAAAAAATACTTTAAAAGAAAAAACAATTTTTTGATATTTTGAGATTTAAAAAAAATCTTGAAGATGTCATGCAGTAGGATATTGCAAGTCTTTGCAAAACTAGTCATTTGTCTGTTTTACTATTTCTACATCAGCACTTCATTGTAGCATAGGTAGAACAGATACCCTTACACTGCCTTCTTCATTTGTGGCTGGATTGGTAGTTGTACTGGCTATTTGATAAGTTTTAAAGGACTCTAAGAAAAAATAGTTTAAAAAAAAATCCCTTTGAGTCAATGATTGCTACGGCTGTAACAGGCAAGAAGAGCAAACTTCCAGTTTTCATTGTACGTGACAGCATTCTTGCATTATGATGGGAAAATAATTATCCAGTTGCAAGCCTTATTTTCCAGTTGCTGGTAGTAGTTGTGTGGACAGAGAATTAATGTAGGAAGATTGCAGCCACAAAAGATTAACTGCCTATTTAAAACCAAATCAGTGAATAGCAACGAAAGCTACCCTATATCAGTTTTGTTTGACTAGACAACCCACTGTATAAACTTCCTGCCTAAATCTGTAATTGAAAGTATTTTCTCTCCCTACTGTAAATTTGTCACTCATGATCATTTTCTGTTCCTCTGAGCATAGAAAACCCTGTCTGGCAGAACTGCAGCAGTGTGTGAGAGTCTGCAGTTCTGGTCAGACTGATCAAAAAATACCCATCAAAAAGAACTCAGAGAGTTCTGAGTCTGGTCAGACTGATCAAAAAATACCCATTCCCAAAGAGAAGCCTGAATCTGTATTCCCACATCCCATCACCCAGTTTTGCAGGGCTTGCCCTTCCACCGTGTTTATTTAGGCTGCGGTACTTGAGAATGGGGTATTTCCCCGTGGTACTGCTACCTGCTAAAATGTAGGAAAGACTCCAGAATCTTATGTGTAGGACTTCAAAAAGTTCAAGGCTGTTCATCTTGGAGCACCATGCAAAAAGAGGTGAGACATTCTGTCATGAGAAAATACTTTATTACATGTATAAAATTTGGTGATGGCTAGGTTATATTTTGTGCCAGAAAGTTCGGCAACTAAAAAAGCTTAAATCTCAGCTGGCTTCCTACCTAGGGAAGAGATGAGGGGAAGAGTGAAAAGCCAAAGCCTTTCATTAGAACTTCAATTTGATGCCTATGTTGCATTATAAAAAGTTTTGGTTTGGAAAATTAATGTCATACTAGTTGGGTCTAAATGTAGTTAAGTTTCTGTAGTGGCTGACTAGATCAAACTTTATCTTTGTGATGAATATCAATTTGGATGAAGTTCACTTTACATTTTAAATGAAATTACTTAAAGCATTGATCATATGCAGAATGTTTCTATTTCATGTAAAACCTGGGATGATGATAATTGCTTTTCAGAGACTAAAGAATGATCTGTGAAATTTGTTTAATCCTGAGGTCATTCTCCACCACAGTTTGCCTTGGTGAAAATAAATATCTAGACACACAGTACACTGCAGGAGTAAAATCCCCAAGCTTGTGTGCCCACCACATGACAGAGAAGAAGCAGAGCACGACCACTTGGCTTCCTCATCTGATGGAAAAAAATTAATTCAACAGGAAAACCAAGAATAAAATGTCTATTGACAGATTTTTGTACTCTTGTGTTTCCTTCCTCCCTGGCCAAGCTGTGCTGTGAGAAGTAAAGCTCATTGTATTTAATTTTTAAAAATTTTTAAAAAAAAATTAAAAAAAAAAAAGACAGACAAATTAAGGTTGCATCCTTCTGCTTTTCTATTGCAGTACAGAAAAGATGGAACAGAATTGAGGATTTGTTACTGAGAAGCAAACCAATGTTTTTTAGACTGCTACATAGTGACTGTACAAACAGTTTGAATTGAGTCAAAAGTATGAAAATGTTCCTTTTAGCAGTCTCTTGACTTAGCAGCGTGGCAACAAAAAATACAGGAAACAAACTGTTAAAAGCCAAGGCTGCTTTCAGCTGCAGCCTGCGACAGTATTTGCCTCTGAAAAAGATGAAGCTTTGGGATACTGGTATTCACTTGATGAAAGGACATTGTGTCATTGTTTCAATATTTGTATTTCTGTCTGTAGGCAAGACTTGAAATCTGTGCGTTGAGAGATACCGTGGCCATATACCTAACACCTGAAAGCAAGTAAGACATGCTTTAATGTTTGTTTTTTCAATGTCATGGAGTCCTTGGTAAATTTGCAGAAGTACGTAATGTAAATTTAGGATTAAGAAATTTTTCTTCAAATAGAATATGTGATATACTGGGTAAATATACAAAAAACAGTTTACTAGGATTACTAGCAAAGCTTTATCAGTTGAAAGAAAATAATTACTTTTTCTTGTTTTTACTTGAACTTTTAGACACAAAGTAGTATTTGCCACTCAAAAAAAAAAAAAAAAGTAGAACTTCTTAACAGCAGTTCAGCTGCTGAGGAAAGTGATGCTAAAACAAGACAAAAGCAGATGTCACTAAGTCTCTAGCCACAAGTCTGAAGATACCTCCTTGCCTTACTTAGCTCTTGTGCTTTATTAAAGATAGGAATCAGTTTTTCACAGCAGTCTCATGAAGTGCACAGCAAAGTACCTACCGGGCACTTCAGAGAGGCTACAGAACCGGCCACTGGCAGGACTCCCTTATAGGGTTATGGAAAATTTGGGCTCTCCACAAACTTGTACAATACCCTACTTCTTTTCCACACACCTAATCAGAGAAAGCAAATTCAGCTTCACGCTGTCTCTTAGAATTAAAGCCTTCAAAAGGCTTTCAGCAATTTATCATTTCTCAGTGAGTTGCACGACCGAAAATAAATAATATGGAACAGACTCACACATTAATATAAAGGGAGAAAGAAAAGCATTAGCAGCATCAGTGGCTGATGTAGTCAAGGCATGTAGAAACAAACTATGATAGCTGTCAGCAGTTTTGATTAAAAGTGATTGATTGAAACTTCTAGTTGATTATGTTGGGGATTAGGTATGGGTAGGTTCATTCATTACTTTAATTACCTACCATTCCATTAGGATTGCCATTACATGTTCCCCCAGATGGTAATTTGGTCGTCTTACCTGATCAACATTTTGTAGGAGAGACTGCAGGGCTTGAGAGTTTAATGTGTCTTCATAGTGTCACAGATAGTGTCCTACAATGTCACTGCATTCTGTTTCAAAGGGCTTGCTTCCCTATTCTGAGTGTCTAATAGTGGTGAAGACCCCCAAATGAAAACAACTTGGCACTGGCTCAAACTGGGTAACGTGGAAGTGGCATTATCTCAATGCTGATTAGCATTGAGGCAAAGCACAGCGAACCTTGGAAGCTGGAGCTTCACAGCTGCCTTTTTATTCCTGAACTTGTCACTAGTAATAGTTGCCACAAGTCAGAATCTTAACAGGATTATACATATCTGCACAGGTCCTGCATCGTTCCCTGAACTTCTATTCCCCATCTGTTGTCCAGAGTGGGGTGGAAACCTCATCTTTGGAGTTACTCAAACTTCAGTGGATAATGCCCCAAGAAACCTCCTCTATCCTCAAAGTTGGCCCTACTTACAGAAGGGGGTTAGACCTGAAGACCTTCAGAGGTCCCTTCCAACCTGAATTACTCTATTAATCTACATTACCTCAATGGGAACCTGCTGTCATTCTCTCTATAGGCCCCCTTCTGTAGGGGAGAATGCAGCGACCTGCCTATTGAGCACAAAAAGCCAAAATAAATGGTTTTGTCTGTGTGTCATACTCTAATGGTCACCTAGTTTGAGGCAGAAGGCAGGCTGGCATCTAATTCTTGAAGAGTCCAGGATGTCAAGCACAGTCTTGTAAAATCAGCTGCTGATTTAACATTTCCTGTTGGTAGCTGGTATACATCACATTAGGAGTCTCAAGAGACCTGCTTGAACCCATGACTGCTTTATGTTCAATTTGCACATGAATGTGCAAATAATATATTGAAGTAGGAATGGGTAAAATATACCATATCTCCATGGAATTTATAGAGAGAAACTGTGAATGCTGAGACTTGCACCAGTGGAATATGAGTATTTTTGTTTTCCTTGCAGCTCAAGCTTTAAGCAAGCTTTAGAAGCCTTGCCCCAACTTTCAAGTGGAACTGACAAAAAGTGAGTATAATGCACCTTCTTGTCTCCTTTTTGGTCTCTGGAGCCATTGCTTTTTACTCTTGTATCAGAACTTTGTTGTTAGAGGGTTAACATCCACTGTATTTGACCCTTCTGAATTACAGAGCAGAAGCCTCTTTGGACAGAGTTAGGAGTAAGCTAAGTCCTTGGCTTATTGAATTACATAGAAAAGGTGGTGGCTTTGTGGCATATCTGTCCTGCCCATCCTAGCCTGATCAGTTCAGTATAGCTTTGTATTTATTTTGTCATTTATTTTAGTCTTCTATGTTAATCTTAAAGTTTCGGTTGGGTCCATTGTCTTGTCTCATTGAATTTAGCAGCAATGAGAAAATGGCCAAGGAGCAGAAGTTCAAGCTTTTGCCAGCTGATAAATGGGGAGCCCTCAAAACTGGCCTGTTTCTTTTTAAAAACAAATAAGAAGGGTCTATGGCTCTTTCTTAGCATCAGGAGGAGGAGGAGTTTTGGGTTCTTCCTTCCCTACCTTTGATGACCAAGCTGTTTTGCTGCATCCAACCTGGTTTTGGTAGTCTGTTTTACAAGCATAGCTTAATAAAGAGCAGTTTGGTGAAATTAGGATGGATCTGTCATGAGTATATTAGTAAAAGTATAGGTGTTTTGGTATTACGGTACTTTCAGGAATTGAACTGCATCAAATCAGTTCGGCCTCAACAGTCACAATTTAGAATATTTTGTAGACATATGAGACTGTTTGTGCAGCCCATAGTCTGTGGACTGTGCCTTCTTCCAGATGTCCTCTGTCTATTTATTCAAACCCACTCCTCACTAGCCACAACAAGTCTCAAGATACCTCCTTAAAGATAGGAATCAGTTTTGAGTAAGGAGAGTTCTTTCAACTCAGACTTTCCAAAACACCTGTAGATTACTTTTTTTTTTTTCACTTCATCATAAGCATTTGAGCTTCATGGGCCAGATGAGAATCAAGAGCTGCATCATTTTTACATCTGCCTCAGAGTTCTGAGCCCTAGACAGTACGAAACTTGTTCTGTTTCCCAGGTCGTTACACTATAGTTGTCATTATTACAGACAGCTCATTGTAAGCTACATGTATTTATGTAAAGTAGCACACATTAGTACACTAATTTAGAGCTGTTCACTTCTGTTTGGTTATTACTATGATACTAAATGATAAATGTGGCTATATTCATCTTCCAGGGGACCTGCTGAGGAAGCAGATACTGATTTTGTGGTTCAGGTTGTTGTTCTTGGGTTGGTTTGGGTTCTGTAACATACAGTATAATTTCTTCTGTTAATGGCTGTTCAATAATCACAGCTTGCCAAAAAGTTGAGTTGTTACATGTCTGCCCTATCTAGCTTGGTTTTGAAACAGAGTAAAAAGTTCAGAGAACACATCCTTCCCTAGAACACAGGGAAAATAAAACATGCAGGAAAGACTGTAAAACTTAATAATGCATCTCCACTGTTACAATAATTGTCTTCTGCAACAGAGCCATCAACACCCTTGGTCCTACAGCTGTAGTTTGTGGATTAGAATAAATATTATCCACTGCACCAAGTGCCTTCTTGGCAGCTATATAAATGTGAACGAACCATTGTTATGCTCCAAAATGAACTCACACATACTGCGTTATCTATGAAGGACAAAATCACATGGTTGCCAGTGAATTAATGTTTCTCCTAGAACGGTCATACTGTCTCTGTTCTTTCAGCCATGAATCTTCAGAGAAATCAACAAAATACCTTCCAAAGACAAATTTGAGAACTGAAATTCGCAATTCAGCTGTAGACAAAAAGCCGTAGCCTTGATAAGGGATACTGGGTTTATGGGACATGGGCTGGCAATTTCTGGGTTTTCCTTACAAATTTGGCTTATGACATTCTCCGCCAGTTATTTTGCCATTGTGTTTTGCAAATACATTTCTCTCAAGAAGATGATCTTTATCTGGAAGGAAAGCAGTATAAAGGCCTATTTTATCACCTTGATAAAATCTCTGTGGCTAAGTCCTTCTCTGACCACAGATCATCCTGACACATTGGTATGCTTTTAAATGCCCATAATATTCCGAGATTTGAGTACATTCCATTTTAGGCCCTTATTTAATCAGACGACGTACTTGAATTCACAGGCAGGATAGCCAAAACTTTTGGTAATTGTTTCCTTTTCAGAATCTGCTAATGTTGTAAGTATTTTCCTTTTACAGGTTACTAGAAGAGTTACTAAACAAATTTAAAAGCAGCATGCACTTACAACTGACCTGTTTCCAAGCTTCTTCTTCAGCAATGATGAAAACATAGACAACACCACAATGCAGGCAACTCAAAAGGCAAATCTGCTTAAACTTCACCCATTGTTTCTGTTCTTCTTTGGTTTCTTGGAAGATTGAAGAAAACAAAAGGAATTTAACTTTAAAAAGAATTAATACATAATTTAAAAAGAAATTGTGAAATACAACTCTGAGTAATGGTGTGGAGTATCCCACTGAGTGAGACTTCTGGTCATAAATACCTTGATAAATGGTTTTCTGTCTACTGTATTTCATTCTGTGGAGGGGATTAAGCCACTTTTGTTTACATACGCTCTTCTTGGCTCTATCTTCATGAAGAAATATTCAATGGTATGCTAAAATCTCAGTTTCATTTGTTAAAAATACAGCAAAATGTATTTTTAGCAAACATCACCTTATATTTGGGTATTACTCATGTTGATCAGTGTTACTTTCTAGATGTAGAGTGATACTGATGTATGTGACTGGAAGACTCAAATTCTATAAACTGGTGAGAGATATGTAATAAGCATTACTCCATACACTTAAGTAGTAAGTGTTCAGATATAATATGGAGAAGGACACTGCTTCTCTTGCATTTAAAAATTATCACTCTTTTTCTGTTATCATCTACAATTTTAGTGGTCGTAGCCTGATTTCTTGGGAGGCTTTTTTTTTCTTGCTTCTTCTTTAGTTAAATGTGTTCCTGCCTGTCTTGTTTCTCCCTTCTATTGGAATATTGGTGATAACCTTCACATTTGAAATAAGCTCTTCTTTCATTGGCAATTACCAGAAAAGCACTCCCACTTTATAAGAGTAGTGTAAATTATTTTAAAAAATGCTCAAGTAAAATATCCTTTGGTGTAGAATAGTTAATCACCTCGCATAGCCAGAAGTAAGGAGCAGCACAATATGTCACTGCTTTTGCTGCTTCCTTCTTACTCCTCTTGTCTTTTCTTGCTCTTACAGGACCTACTGCCACTGTTTTCTTTTCACCATTAGTTATTGAATTTGGGTGGAGGGGAATAGAGATTAAGAAGGAAAGAACAGTTTTGTGGCCATTAAGATGTAGTTACACAAAAGTCAGCAACCATCTTCCCAACAGGGAAGGTTTGACACTGGCTTTCATTTTGGGACTTGATGCAAGATGCAGAAAGCTATAACAGTGAGTAACTAACAGAAAGAAAGTGGTCTTTTTTGCCGGGGGGGTGGAGGGGATGGGGTGG